CCATTCATCGCAACCCCTCTAGGTTCTGAATAGAAGAAGAATTGAGTCTAAGAAATAAACTGAATCCCATTGGGGGAGAGAAGAAGAAGAGGAAGAGGAAGAGGAAGAGGAAGAAGAAGAAGAAGAGGAAGAAGTAGAAGAAGAAGAACACAAATTGGCACCAATGTCATCTTCCTCCACCTCCATATCTCGCCACCATGTCTCTATCACCATAGCCTCCAACACTTGTTTCAATCATAATAAATAACAATAACACTGAATGAACGAGCAATAAGTAATGTCCAAGTGATTCCCCAATTTCCCATTACTGCCAGACTTCAAAGATCTCTTCACCTCACTCAACCTCCTCTCTCCTCTCCTTGGTACGACTGCCAGCTATGACGGTTCATGCTGACCTACCCTCAACTTTATGGAGACCACACAACGATTCGCATCCCCTCTCCTCTCCAACGTGTACCCCAACAGCGTACATCTTGATGCAGTGCCAACCAGGAAGATGAAGATGTAAGTCCGCCATAGCCAAAGGCCCAAAGGTAATGGTCATTCTCACCTCCTCCATATGCTTCAGGATCTCGTCATCACCATAGTGTGGCTGGAGCTGGAGGGTCTGCTGCCTCTATCTACTCCAACCTCCCTCCTTCAGCCGAGCCCTGCCAGTGGATCTGATCCTTCTACCTCCATAGCCTAGTGCCTCTCTCCTACCTCTCCGGGCTCTCCCCTCTGCTCCTCCATAGTTATGCAGGTCTTTACCTTCACCCTCAAGCTCGACCTCCAGCTGCCAGGAGCTCCGCCACCCTGCCCATCTGGGTGCAAATGCAGCATGGCAGCTTGGTGAATAAACGGGGCGTGAATTGCACCAAATCACACACTTGGGCTGCCCGGCCTGAGGCCTCAGCTACCTCTTGGCCGGGCACTGCCTGCCTCTACCCTGATATCTTCTTCGTGTGCATTGCTACCGCTCATCGCATCAAATCATACACTTCGGCTGCCCGGACTCAGCTACCTCCTAGCCGGGCACTGCCTGCCTCTTCCTTGATATCTTCTTCTTTCAAATTGTGTGCATTACTAGGCTCATTCCACCAAATCATACACTTTGGCTGCCCGGACTCTGCTACCTCTTGCCCTGCCACACTACCTAGTGCCTACCTCTACTCTGATATCTTCTTCTTTGTGTGCAGTAGGCCTACCGGGTGTTCCTGCTCTTGACTGAATTTCACTGAAACATCATTGCAGACTGATATTTGCCTACATACCCTCCTGTACATAGCCTTCTCCCTGCCTACCTTTAGACCCTGGGCATCACTACCTACGGGACATCAAGCAGACAAATCCAGGCCCCCAACCTATTTGCTGGAAAATCCCTACCAGGCCTCTACCGCATTCATATCCCTGATTGCAATTCCACCGCCAATATGTTTCTTCTGCCAACTTTCCGTCCTGCCCCTGCTCCTACCTCCATCACTTCTTTGTCCCTGTCCAAAACACACAGCCACACACCACCGCCAACGGAGTTAGCACACAGAGTCAGACTCCGTCTCATGCAAGTGTGACGGCATAGGCACATAGCGGCTCAGCTGCGGCTGATCACTTTTTTTTTCGCTCTGTTTTGCGGTGTTTGCACTAACACAGAGTAAAATAAAACACAGCGAAACACAGCAAAACAGACTCCGCGAAAAAAAAAAGAAAAAAAAAAAAAAGGAAAAAGATCAAGAGCAGAGACTTTCTCAGAGAAAAGCAGATTTCGTAGACTGAAAACTGTGCGGGTAATTAACTTTTTTTTTTTCTTTCCACAACAGCTTGCACAGAAGTCCCTACCTTCTTGAACCCCCGAGTGGAAGTTCAGTCATTTTCACTGCATCTGGTCTGAAAGGTCAGCCAGGTGCGACTGTAATGACCCGACGTTCTATTCAAGTGAAGAAGGACAACACAAGATTCGAGTTATTATTATAATATAAAGGGAACAACTTTTTAGTTCTAGTGCCTTGTATAGGTGACACAAAAGAAAATAAAAATGAGACGACTTACTCACGCTTGGACGTGTTCAGCTCCCAGAAAATCAGGATGTGAAAAATAAATAAATAAATAAATAAATAAAAAATCAGAATGTGGGTACAGCATCCAATAGTCAGCACTGACGCTACCCTCTTCAACCTCTAGAACGTATGGTGATATAGCTGCATCTAGCCAGAAAGTGCCCCTAAAAACAGCTATAAGGACCGTGCGTTCTATTCAGGGGAAGACCGAATTTTCTGAGTTTAGCAAAATTAGCAAAATTTCTGAAATTCTTTTCCCAGACGGTCAGTTTGGTGAGTAAGGTTTTTTTTTTTTTTTTTTTTTTTGGCCAGTAAATGGATCCATGTACTAACTTGCCAATTTTGGCAGATGATCAACGGGCCCGGCTCAGTTGATACACCGACGATCTGTGGAAATATGAATCAGACCCAAATTCGAATCCAGATGCAATCACATGGAAAGAGTAAATTAATTCTTCGGAATCACA